CCAAGGTCCCCTCCTCAACCCCCGCAGCAGGGACTTGGTACAGACAGCTATACCCTTTCCTAGTAAGTGCCCCCCTCCAAAATTTAAGATATGTAGGATGGCATGTGCAACTGCTTGACCTCTTCAATCAACACTCCCCAGTTACAGGAATTTAACTCCATGGGAAGAACCTGGTTTTGATCTTGACTTTATTTTATTTTTTATTTTTACAATTGATTTTTTATTTTTGTGAGTATATAGATATATGTGTGTGTGTGAGTCTATGCATATAAATGAGTATATGTGAGTGTGTGTGTATTTATGATTTCTTCCTCTTTTGAGATTGTTCATACAGAACATATATAGTTCAAGTGAACACACAGTCTGGCTACTTCAATGTGATTATAACTACCTTTCCATTAGGTGATGGTGAAAAGAATCTAGCTTCAGAAAACTAGGGTTCATCCTTACAAGGAAGCAAGAGAAAGCAATATGAATAAAACTGTAATTATATAAGATATCCCATGAGTTAAATTAAACTAGGGGGACTGTTTGTGTTCATATGTTGTATGTCTTCCCCTTTTTGTCTAGTTGTTCTTGCCTCCAAGGATATTTTTTAAAAAATTGATATGGATAGTGTCTAGAGATTTTGAGCTCAAAAATATATGGGAACTGGTTCAAGTACTTCCTGTAAGTGTAGCATGACATAATTGTTGGTTTGTGAGAATTAATTTGGAATTTAATAGATTGGTTTGAAACATGTATTTGTATGAAGTTGTGGTGCTTTTTTTTCTCTTCTACCTGTGTTATTGGTGGAAGGTACATGCTGCATAGATGAAGCAGTCTACGGTGCTAAGTATTAACTAATTCCTATTAGAAAGTACATGGAAATAAGCATGTGGTGATTTAAATTAGGGTGTAAAGGTCTGAGACTCTGGGGAGCATAGTACCTGAACTGAAATCTACCACTTTGTTGTGGAAACAAAATAATGTACTAAAGCAACATACTCTGTAAGTAAATTAATTTTTCTTCCATTTGGCCAATAGTTAATGGGTAATCACTCTGAACCAAGAACTGTGACAAGGGCTATATTATATATGTATAATAATATTCAGTTCCCTTCCCCTAAGAATTCTGCAATTCAAGACACAAATAATAATGGAAGCAGCACATAAAAAGATAAGCACCGAAAGAAGGTGGAACAAAATATGTGAAATCCTAGAGGTGGAAAATGTTTTTCTAGCCTGGAGTCTTATGGGAGAGCAGAAGGAATTACAGGTTCAGTTCTGCCTCCCTGCTCCTACCCTAAAAGGTTAGATAGCCTTTTCTTAATGTCTCACAGTGGCTTTTTGTTACTTTGGTACAATCCCTAGATACCAGTGCCCTGTAAGTCTCAGGAGGTTTATCACTGTTACTTACAGAATGCAGATTGTTTTAGGTTGACAGCAGTGAGGGCCAACGAAACTTAAACGAGCTACTGTTCTTGCCTATGTCTTTCCTCCCTAATTGTAGAAATAAGTGTCCTAAGGTTCTACCCATTCCCTAATCAAAGAAGCAATCACTGTTCCCCCTTTTTTTGTGACCCAGAAAAATGTAGTTTGGGGGGTCTCATTCAGTTCTAGGTTTATCAGTAAACACGTTCTCTTTATCTAAGAATCTCATCTTTACTCTCCAAGTAAGAATGAAGTTACCTTCTTTCTGTCCTTGATACTCTGGGTCTTAAAACACAGGACATTTTTACCTATTCTGCTCCATTATTCTTTAGAATCTTCAATCATGTAACTTCTCCATATATTATTAAATGCATTGTTTTTCCTTTGCTAACCTTGTGACACAGTTCTGATTGCTCATTCAGCCTGAGAAGAACCCAGCTGGGTAGGGAATAATTTGTTTTGCCTCTCAACAAGATATAACATCCTCAGTGCTAGTCTTGAAAGATGGAGACAGTTTTATTTTTTTAATTTTTATTTTTTTTTAAAGATTTATTTATTTGTGCATACAGAACTGGCCAGACTCAGGAGTGGTGAAAGACTTCACCAGAGACAGAGTGGGGAGAAGAACAGGCAGGTCGACGAAGTACACTGCTGAGGGGAGCAGCGGGCTGGTCAGGAGAGGTCTGCCACACCATGTGGTCACCTCCAGGGCAGGTGGGAATCGAACTCATGCGGAAGTGGTTTCAGCTTCTTAGTGCAGTGCTTTAACCTGCTGCACCACCAGGGAGGGCCGAAAGATGGAGACAGTTTTAAACAGTAATGACGACAGTACTAGGTGAGGGAAGAGAAGTTAGGGGTTGGAGATTGGGAGGATGAGGGAAAAAATTAACATTTCCAGGGGGTTTGGGTGGAAATCAAGTTCCACACAACACAGGTGATATAAATGTAAGAGAGGCAATAACCTCATTGGATCCCTACTATAATCGCTTATCAGCATAAAGTCATAAGTAACATCAAGCAAGTGTCAAGTCATATAAGGAGGGAGCAAGACAAGGACATGTCCTGAGAACAAAGAAGGCTGAGTGATAAGTGTGAAGAATAAAATCTGTAGGTGAGCAGGATGGAGTCTGGAGTGATGGGAACAGGCTAGCTTCCTGGTTTATAATCTCTAACTATCAGTATCAAGGACAGAAACTGTTTCTTCAGTGAGTAACTTACAACAAGAAGAAAAAAAAAATGTGGAGGGAGATTCTATTGATTAAGAGAGACCTAAGGATACATCAACAAGAAGAAAAAAAATGTGGAGGGAGATTCTACTGATTGAGACCTAAGGATACATCAATATATGAATTTTAGTTGAATTCTGATTCAAACTGGCAAATTCTACAAATTATGGTAATTAGGAGACAGATGAATATTGGATACTTTGAATATAAGACTGTCATTTTCTAACAGTACTGGTACTGTAGCTATGCTGAAAAGAGTCTTTATCGCTTTAAGATATATTCTGAAACGTTTAAGGGTGAAGTAAAGTTTGGGATTCTCTTCAAAATAATACAAAGAGAAGGAGAATGAAAAGGTAAAAAATAAAACAAAAAGCGACTGCCCATGATTTCACAGTTGTTACAAGTAATGTTTAAGAGTCATCATACTATTCTTTCTACCTTTGTATGAGTTTGAAATTTACCATAGTAAAAATTGCAAAATGAAGTGTATTTTTGTGGGGAAGCTCCGCCCACAGCCCGGGAAGCCCCTCCCCCTGGGCCCTCGCTCTCAGCTCTCCCGCGGGTTTCCAGTTCGTCCGGCTCCCGACTTTTTTACTTCCTCTGGGGAAGTCACTGGTCTTGCATCTCACAAGTCGCCTTCCCTGTTCTTCTCCAGACCCCTTACACCGTTTCGAGTTCCTAGAAGTCGCCTTCCGGACCCTGAGCGGTGGCCACCCGGCTGCCCCCACCCCACGTCCCCGGGGAGTGGTGGCGTCTGGCTGTGGCCCCTGGGGGAAGCGTCGGTGTCGGCATGGCGACGCCGGGCGCGGGCGCGGGAGCGGGCGCTGGCGGAGTCCCGCTCCGGAACCACCTCCAGAGGGAGCGGCCTGGGACCTGAGACCCGAGGTGGGCCCCTTACCGCCGTCGAGCCACCCCGGCAGTCTGAACCCCGTGCAGCCCAGTCCCCAAGTCAGCCTGAACCGGGTCGCAAGAGAGGTCGGGCCTTAAGGGTTAAGTGAGAATGTTTGGGGAGCTCCTACTTAAAATGGGTGTGGAGGACAGCCCCCCCATCATCCCCCCCCCGCCCCCCCAGGGTGAGAACAGGCGTCGTTTGGGACGAACTGCCCTTAGAGCAGGAGAGGAAGGACCCAGGTTGTGCTGTGTAAGAAAGGGAGCCCGTGTGCGGGTAAGAATGTCTTGGCTTTTATATATGTCTCTAGGGCAGGAGGGGAATTTGAGGCTCCCCTAGAAGGAACAGGAAAAGGGCCTGAGGAATGTCTCCAGTGCTAGTGTGAGGGATAGGAAGTGAGAGGGGAAAGGAGAAACTCCTTTCAGAGGGTTATAAAGACCCTTCAGTATGGTCACACTATTTTGCTTGATGTTGACCTCTGATTCCCTGGGAGAATCTAAAGCCCTCTCCAAAAAACAAATGAACAAAACACATAAAGATCCCCCCACCCCCACCCCACCACCACCAGCAGCAGCCTATACAAAGGGCCCAAGTTTAGAGACTTAGCTTTGGAAGATGTAAAAATATATGGGTTTTGTCAAATGCCATTACAAGTCTGTTCTGGGAAGCCCTGAAATTGATACTGGGTTGTGATGTGTATTTGCCATTACAAGACAGTAGCTTATCAATGCCAATTAAGTAACAGAGACAGTGAGTGGTGAAGAATATTAAAGGTATGAACTTAGGAAGAAGGGGAATGTAAAATGAATGTTAAGGGAAGGCAACTATCCTGAAGGTTAGGACCTGAAGTGGGACCCTAGTTCCCAGGACAGAACTCTTAAGAAAGCCCCCATGATGGTGGAGAAGGTTTATGATTTCTGCAGCTACTCATGGATCCTGACTCAGGGAGAAACGTGGCTTATAAACGCTGTGTCTAGTAAATGGGATTGCAGATGATAAAGGGCTTCATAGTCACATACTATACCTAACAACCAGATTTAGAGAAGCCTCAGAGGAGACCTGTTGAATTGTTTATTTCAACGCTTTCCAAACTTACTCAACTGTGAATGTCTTTATTTTTCCCCTTCTTATGCCTCTACTAAGGGCTTGTTGGGATTACATTTTGGAAAAATCCCTGAGGGGGGTTAAGGCCCAAGGAAGGGTGTTAAGCAATGACACGATACTAGGTTGTGATTTGTGATTGCAAGGAGATTAATGGGACAGCCGTGTGTGGGAATGGGGGGGCCAGGGAGAGACTAGAGACAGAGAGCCTGAACCATAGTAAACTAAGCTGGTTTACTGGACAGGAGGTACATTTGTCAAGAACTGAGAAAAAAAATATGTGTGTGGTTTCTCATGGATGATTACATTGCTACTGTTTTCTTCTCAGGAAATGACCTTTGGCACTAAATGAAGACTCCATTTTTCATGATAAAATGGCAGCAGTGAAAACCCCCAGCAGAGAACTAAAAAATGCTGAAGAACCATTTAATGATGTATCACCCCTCCTTTTGAAAAGCCTTGTGGAGGAGCCCAAGAAAAGAAAAGAAGTACCTAATCACCTCCTAGAATCAAGTACGTGGTTAATTATATAGATTTGCTTTCCAGAGCATCCAAAGTTTAGAAAGTACAATGGAATTTTTGGTGTTGACTTACCTATGTTGTTTTACAGACTACAGTCATTATCATTATTTTTTTTTTAAAGATTTATTTATTTGTGCATACAGAACTGGGGTACAGGCCAGAGATGTGGAGGGTGAGAGGATTCACCAGAGACAGAGCGGGGTACAGAACAGGCAGATCAACAAAGTACACTGCTGAGGGGAGCAGCGGGCGGGCCAGGAGAGGTCTGCCACACCATGTGGTCACCTCCGGGGCAGGCGGGAATCGAACTCATGTGGAAGCGGCTTTAGCTTCTCAGTGCTGTGCTTTAACCCGCTGCGCCACCAGGGAGGGCCCCATCATTATTTTTTTTAAAAGATTTATTTATTTGTGCATACAGAACTGGGGTACAGGCCAGAGACTCAGGGGCAGCAAGTTGGTTCACCAGAGACAGAGTGGGGAGCAGAACAGGCACCAAGGAGGGCCACAGTCATTATCATTATTAAGAAAAGTAGTTCTGTTTGATGCCTTTCACTTAACTGTTGGATGCTTGGTGTAAATCAGTCACCAAGTTCAGTTGCTTCCACTACCTCAAATGTGTTTCAGAGGCTCTGTCCCCAGTACCTTGTTCCTCATCCTTAGCAGGTCGCAGGGATGACTGTAGTGCTCTCTTCTCTGGTCACACTGTCCCCCAACCCCCTCCCTTCCCAGTCAGTTTCTAGAACCCTGGCGACTTCTACCCTGCACTGCTCCAATATTCACAACTGTTCCCATCACATACAAATCAAAGTCCCAGTTCCTTCACCTGGCATCTGCCCCCTTTGCTGTTGCTATCTCCCTGCTCACTCAGCACCACCCAGTGCTGTGCTCCCCTCATCCCTGTTCCAGCCATGTTGCCTCTGCAACATGGTGGTCCCTTTAGGACCACATGCATTTTACACCTTCTTGCCTTTACCGTGCACATCCCTTATGCTGAAAAGCCTGGCAAATCTATGTCCAAGCCTCACTACTTTGCCTATGTTAGCTTATTTAATCTGTAACAGGATGAGATGTGTCCTATTGCCACTTACTGTTGGAGAGGCTGAGACTCAGAGTGGATACCCCAAGGTCTCCAGCTAAGTGCAGTATTGGTTCTCAGCTCTTTGTATCTACTCAGTTGCTTCCCACTCATCCAAAGCCCTTCTCATATGCCAGACACATGCTGTGATGTGGCTTTTTTTGTCCTGATAGAACTTACTGAGTGCAAATTTATTTATTGGATTGTTTCTGGGTTGAACAGAAAAATGCCCCTTTTGGTAGCCCTGAAACAAAACAAAGTCTTTCAAAATTACCAAATAATGTTCATTTTAATACTTACAAATGCTAAATAGCCTGTAGAGATCATCGGTCTTCCTGAAACACCATCCTTGTCCCATCCAGCCCTTCAGTTTGACTCAAAGCTGCTGACAGTGACAACTTACCAGTCACTGGAATTGCTGCGGAGCCAAATGCTTGCCACCCACTTCAGAAATGGACTGGAACCCCAGTGCACTGAGGAATAGTAGAGGGTATTTGTGGCTCACAGGATTTGGTTATAACTAAGAGTGAAAGGTCATCATTTGTAAGAAATTGAACAGTGCATTCACCTTGAGGAAGACAGCTCAGTGGTTGGAATTAGACAGATTCAGGATTAATTTTTGACTGCCATCATTGGGCAAATTGATCTCAGTTGTATGAAGTCTCAGTTGTCCCATCTGCAAAATGAGAATACCTACTCATAGTCTTACAAACGAATGTCTCCACATAAAGCCTTGATGTCAGGGAGTGGGTTCTAAGTGCCACCTCTCAGCTTCTTTAGAAATGAAGAACTGGGCAACGTTTTATAGCTCTAGACAACTTGTATGGCTGTTTAAAACTGTTCTCAAGCCTAAAAAAATGTTCACATTATAATACTTATTTAAGACTTTACTGTCTAGAGAATAATTATTCAGAGCTTTAAGATTTAAGCTCTATCACATTTTAGTTCTATCCAGTAGAAAATAATAACAGCCAAATACATTGTAATAAAGTTAGCCACTTGGTGTTAGGATTCCTCATCGTTATGACAGAATAAGTAATGGCAGTGCTATTCAGAGCAAAAATAGTGCAGGCTCTTTAACGAGCTCTGGTTTTATTATGAAGACTTTTGCAAAATTTGAGGGAAAAATTATTTTAAGAGGTAATAACAATACATGTGGATTTGTTTTGTGAGGATAATATCTCCCGGGTGATGTGTAAAGATAAAGGATCAGTACAGTTCCTTTGGAATATATTAATCTTGTTGACAGCTCTGTCCTCTGTCTGAAACTTTCATGGGCTTAAAATATCCTAAATTAAGAAAGCCCATGCCAATAGGATCTTCTTGCATGTAATATTTTTGTTGACATCTCATCTCATAATGTACCTATCTACATTGTTTTTATAGAGGTTTATGCAAAACTGAAGAAAAATAAGGTCATAGAGGCAAAACCTGGCATATTGCATTTTGGAGGTTATGAAATAGAAAAACAACATCAACAGATTCTGGTAGGTGCTTTTTAAGTGGGCTAATTAATCACAATAATGAAATGACATAAATGTTCTGCATTTATATTACTCGTTCTTCTAAAAAGCAGCATTCTCAGCAGAAGTACAGTTGCAGATTGAACCAGAAAGGAAGGTCTAGACTGAGAAATTTTCAAGGTGCCTTTGTGTCCCTTTCTACTCCCCACCCTTACCCTGGCCAAAGGCTCTGCCCAGCACCCTTCCCAAACAGGTATCCTTACTCAGTGTCTCTTAGGTGCCAGCAACTGCGATTTGTCTTACAGGTTTCACAATAGTGCTTATCCCAGCTCTGTGGAAATTGTAACATTACTCTCAGTCTATGAATGAAGAAACCAAGATTCCAGAATGTTATAGTGTAGCTCAAGAGCATAGAGCTACTAAGTGATGGAGCCAGACCTTGGCTCTTCAACTGTCCTTCTCCAAATCAGTGCATGCTTGCCCCAGGCCTAGACCACCAGGGAATGGTAGGTGCCTTTTCTAGGACATTCCAGCAAGGGTTTTGTTTCGCCTGCTCAGGTACATACCTAAACTGGTCATTTTGGTCAAGAGAATTCTGGCCAGGTCTGGCTGCTGGGGTTGACTCCATTGAACTGTCTCCAGAAGAGACAAGAGGCTGAACTGCAAAGTGGCCGACACTGATGGTAACAGCAGCCCACTGCAGAGCCACTTCGAGGTTCAGTCCTTCTGGGTCCCTGTGAGTGACCTGATGTTCTTAATAGGCTCTGCCCTGGATCCCTAGAGCATTCTTAACTCCCATGCTAAAGGGGACATGAACAGTTTTTAATAGGAGGAAATATACCATAATTGCATAGTTATTTTCCAAAAACAATTTCTAAAAGGATTTCTAAGTTTTTGATAAATTTATATTGAGGTTACACTGATTTGTAACATTATATAAATTTCAGGTGTAAATTTCAGCATTATAATTCTACATCTGTAAACACTATAGTTTGATTATCATCTAAAGTCTGGTTTCCATCCCTCACTGTGCACTTGACCCCTTTCATCCATTTCACTCTCCTCACCCCAATAATCTCCAATCTGATTTCTATATCTAAGAAATTAGATTTTTTGTTTAGTTTGGGTGTTATTTTTTTTAAGTTATTTGCTTTATTTATATCTCACAGATTAATGAAAGTATTTTGTCATTCTTAGCATTATTTCACTTAGGAAATACCCTTAGGTCCATCCTTTTATACAAATACCCAGAAGACATCTCTTTTTATATCTGAGCAGTATGCCATTATGTATATATACCACGTTCTCTTCATCCAATCATTTGCTTTTGGACATTTACGTTGCTTTATTTTATTATTGTTGTAAATAATGCTGCAATGAGTATAGGGAGGCATATATGAATTTGTACTAGTATTTTCTCCGTTTTTGTAAAGTTATCCATTGGAGTATAGCTGAATCATATGGTATTTCTATTCTTAGAATTTTTTTAGAACTCTCCATTCTGCTTTCCATAGTAGTTACACCATTTTACATCCCCAGCAACAGTGTCTGAGAGTTCCCTTTTCCCCACATTCTCACCAACACTTATTTCTTTTCTTTTGATAATAGTCATTCTCACAGATTGCGATATCACTGTGATTTTTAATTCGCTGTTCCCTGATGATAAGTGATGAAAACACCTTTTCATGTGCCAGTTGGCCATTTCTGTCTTTTTTTGAGAACTGTCTATTCAGGGCTTCTTCCCATTTTTTTGATTGGGCTGCTTGCTGGTTTTGTTTGTTTGTTTTTTCTGAGTTGTATGATTTGTTTACATATTTTGGATGTATACTTGGATAACCCTTGATACATGTATGATTTGCAAATGTTTTCTCTCTTTCTGTAGTTACCTTTTTGTTTTGGTAGTGCTTCCTTTCCCTGGGCAGAATTTTATATTTTGATGTCATCTCACTTGTTTTTGTTTCTCTTTTATGGGATTTCCATAAAAAACCTTTTTAAAGCCTTCCTGCCTCTGTCTTCTTCTATTTGTTTTATGGTTTCAGGAACCTGAGCTTTAAAGCAGCTCTATAACCTCTGTGAATTCACCAGGACCCCATAAAACCACACTGAGTGGAACATCTCAGAACTACTCCAACAGTGCGCTAGATCTGGGCCAAACTGACCTGAGCACAGAGTGGGACTGAGGTGGACTCACATCTCATGGGCTCCCTGAGGTGCTGGCCCTAGCCAGCATCTACTTTTAGATGTAGTGCATTCTTTGAAGACATCTATCATCTAAATCATTTCAGAGAAAGACAAATAACATATGGGATCACTTTCATGCAGAATATCAGCAAGCAAACAAGAGCAATCTCATGGATACAAAGAACAGATTGGTGGTTGCGAGAGGCAGGGTGGGAAGTGGGCAAAATGGGTGAAGGGGTTTAAAAAGTACCAAGGGTCAACTATAAAGTATGTCACAGGGACGTCATATGCAATATGGATTATAGTTAATAACACTATATTGTATTATTTGAAAGTTGCTATGAGATTACATCTTCAAAGTTTGTATCACAAGAAAACTTTTGTGACTATGGTAGCAGATGTTATCTGGACTAATTTTGGTGATCATTTCACAGTATATTCAAATATCAAGTTATTATGTTCTACACCTGAAACTAATGTAATACTACCTGTCTACTTTATTAAAATATTTTAAAATATTTAAACTATCATGTTGGGCAGCTCAGAGGAGAATACCTGGGGAAAACGACAACAGAAAGACTGTCTGGAAGTAAAGTGAGCTTTCTGTCAGGTAGTCCCCAGTAAACAGGGCAAGCAGCTTCCACAACTTCTTATGCACTGAAGTGGCTAAAGACAGACTAGATCAGAAGTGATCTATATTATTATATTTTGGTGTCAAAATATAATAATATCAGGAAAAAGGTATTGAAACTGATTAGGAGTTTCTCCCATCAACCTATGGAAATTAATTTTTTACAACATAGCATCAAAAATCAAGATTAATGATTCATTTTAGAGTTTAATTTTCTTAGTATTAGATTTCCTAGCTAGGTCATGAGAGGATACATCTAAAATAATCATGCTTTTTATTTTTTATACTAGTTAATTTACTCTCCTCTTTACTCCAACTCTAGACAACCACTAACCTACTTTATGTTGGCCTATTCTGGATATTGCATAAATTCTGGGTTTTTATAATACGTGGTCTTTTATAACTAGCTCCTTTCATTTAACATTAATGCTTTCAAGGATCAGTCAGCTTTCAGCATGTACCAGGACTTCATTCCTTTTTATGGTTGAGTAATATTCCATTATATGGATATAGCACAGTTTAGTCTATTTAGCTTATTGGGTGATGGACCTTTGGGCTTTCATTTTGGGGCTATTTCTCATAGCGCTATTATGAATATTAATATGTGTATTTCTCTGTGGATTGTTTTTAAAAAGATTTATTTATTTGTGCATACAGAACTGGGGTGCAGGCCAGAGGCTCAGGGGCAGTGAGAGGCTTCACCAGAGACAGAGTGGGGAACAGAACAGGCAGATTGACGAA